AGCCTCCCCAGCAGGAATTGGGGGTGTCCTGCCCCTGGCCAGCCCACCTGGAAGGAGCACATGAGGGTCTCGTCCACGCTCATCATGGCGCCCGCGTTGTCGAACTCGCCGCAGTAGTTGGGGGCCGAGAACAGGGTGACGAGCTGGCGCTTGGCGAAGAACTCGTAGCCATCCTCCACCACCTGCACGAGGGGGGCACGCTGTGAGCACCCCCGGGGCAGATAACCACCCCCCCGGGACCACTGTGCGACCTCAGGGGCAAATACCCATCCCCCCGTCCTGTGGTAAATATTCCCCTCCTGAATATCCACTCCCCTGGGGTCAATACCCGCCCACTCAGGGCAAATTCCCATTTCCCTGGAGTAAATATCCAGATATCCAGGCCCCCAGGGCAAATACTGCCCTCCCAGGGCAAATACTCACTCCCCTGGGGCAAATTTTGACCCTCACGGGGCAAATGCTCACCCCCCCAGGGTCAATGTCAGGCAAATCTTCCCCCCTGGGGCCAATATCCACCTCCAGGCAAATGCCCAAATCCTGGGGTAAATACCCAAATCCTGGGGTAAAATCTCACCCCTCTAGGGTAAATACCCAAATCCCAGAGTGAATCCCCCCTGAAATCCTGCCTACACACTCACAACAACCCCCCAGAGTCAAGTGGGCAAGCACCCCCTCAGGACCCACCCCTGGAGCACACACCGCCCCTGGGGGGCAAATCCTCGGGGTACACACGCCTGCCCTACACCCGACCCCCACTGGGCACCCAAAGCCCCGCTCCGGGGGCCCTCCCCAATATTTTGGGGGTCCCGGAGGTACCTGGTGTGCCCGGCAGATGAGATCCAGGTCGTGCTTGTGCAGGAACTTGGCCACCACCTCGGCCCCGAAGGTGAAGGAGACGCCGCGGTCGTTCTCCCCCCAGCCCTGCACGTCCTTGTCGGGGTCGGACCAGAGCAGGTCACAGAGCAGCCCCTGATCCGGGACGTCCGTGGGCCGCATGATCCGCCGGATCTGCTCCATGGACTGCAGGTCTGGGGACAGCCCTGCGGGGAAGGGGAGCCCCCGGAGCTCAGCACGGAGATCCCGCCCCTCCACAGCCCCCCACCCAGATCCCTGGGAAGGGGTTTCTTCTCCCACCTCCGTGGCAGCAGAAGATCTTCTCGTCCACGATGGCGGCGATGGGCAAACAGTTGAAGCAGTCGGTGAAGGTCTTCCAGAGCTTGATGTTGTATCGCCGCTTGCCTGGGGGGCACAGTGAGGATCTGGGGGTGTCCTTGGGGGACAACGGGCACCTAGGGGTGTGTGGGGCTCCCAACAGGGGTTTTAGCCCCCCAGGTGATGCACAGGCAGCTGCCCCGAGGTCCATCAGACCTGGCAGAGCTCTGGCTGCACAGGGACAATGGGGACTTGGGGGTGTCCTTGAGGGACAATGGGGACTTGGGGGTGTCCTTGAGGGACAATGGGGACTTGGGGGTGTCCTTAGGAGAGCACTGAAGTGGGTGATGGGGGGCACAGGGGGACAGGGTGGGAATGGGGGGGGGGTAGGAGGACACAGGGCTGGACAAAGGGGTGGCAAGTGGACACTGAAGTGGCCAGGAGGACACAGGGATGGCAGGGGGATATTGGGGATGGCCAGGGGGATCCAGGAGGACAGGAGGGGGTGGCAGGAGGATGTGGAGGGGGACAGGAAGTCAAGGAGGGGCAGTAGGACGTGGGGTGGGCAGGAGGACAATGGGAGCAGTGGATGAGGTATATGGGGGGTCAGGGGGACAAGGAGGGGTGGCAAGAGCATGTGGGGGGACAGGAGGACCATAGTGGGGCAGGGGGACAACGGGGGGGCAGGAGGACATGGGGAGAGGGCAGGAGGATGTGGAGGGGGACAGGAGGACATGGAAGGGGACAGGAGGACACAGGGGTGGGCAAGGGGTGGCAAGAGGATGTGGAGGGGGACAGGAAGACAAAGAGGGGCAGTAGGACATGGGGTGGGCAGGAGGACAATGGGGGCGGTGGATGGGGGACATGGGAGGCCAGGGGGACAAGGAGGGGTGGCAAGAGGACACGGGGGGGTGGCAAGAGGACATGGGGGGGCAGCAGGATATTGGGGTACAGGAGGACACACAGAGGGGGCAGGAGGACATGGGGGTGGGCAGGAGGACATGGGGAGGGAGCAAAAGGATACGGGGTGACAGGAGGACAACAGGAGTGGTAGACAGGGGGACAAGAGAGGGTGACAAGAGCACATGAGGGGGCAGGAGGATACAGGAGGGCAGGAGGTGGCAGGAGGACAAGGGGGTGGGCAGGAGGATATTGGGGGGGCAGGAGCACATGGGGGAGGGCAGAGGGGGCAGGAGGACTACCCTGGTCACAGCTGGGGTGGGACAGCACTGGGACAGCAGCAGGTGAGGGGTGCATGAGGACAGCTGGGGGGCTTGGGGGGCCCAGCCTGGGCACTCACACTCGTCGTAGAAGCCGTAGATGCGGTTGATGCTGGCACACTCGTGGTTGCCCCGCAGCAGGAAGAAGTTCTCGGGGTACTTGATCTTGTAGGCGAGCAGGAGGCAGATGGTCTCCAGAGACTGCTTGCCCCGGTCCACGTAGTCCCCCAGAAACAGGTAGTTGCTCTCAGGGGGGAAGCCCCCGTACTCAAAGAGCCGCAGCAGGTCATAGTACTGCCCGTGGATGTCACCTGAGGGGGGGGGGGACAGGCTGTGAGTGGGACCCCCAGCTCCCCACAGCCCCCCTGCCTTCCCGCGGGCAGCACAGGGCTGTGCAGGACCCCCCACCCACCCAGCCAGCCCTCACCGCAGATCTTGAGAGGTGCCTCCAGCTCCAGCAGGATCGGCTGGCTCAGGAAGATCTCCCGGGATTTCAGGCACAGCCCCCGGATCTCGTTCTCCGTCAGCTGCACGTTCTTCCCTGGCCGCGACCCTTGGACTGGCCCCCCACCCCAGAGAGCAGGGTCAGGGACCCCTAAAGTGCCCCAGGAACCCCCCAGGAACCCCGCCAGTGCCTCAGGAACCCCGCCAGCAACCCATCTCTAGGGGACCCCCCTTATATTCCCCAGCCCCTCCCGCCGGGATACAGATCCCTTAGGAACTCCCCCCATATCCTCCGGGCTCACTTCCAACCCCCACAGCCCTTGGGGACCCCCCCATATCCTCAGGTTCATCTCCAGCCCCCCACACCCCTTGGGGACCCCCCCATATCTTCCAGTTCGCCCCCCCCCACTCCCTCGCGGGGGTGCAGACTCCTCAGGGACTCCTCCAGCCTTCCAGACCCCTTGGGGACCCGCCCCAAACACCACCCGGCCCTGACCCCCCTCCCCAAAAGCACCGCGGCCTAACACCCCCCCCCCTCCCCCGCCAGGCCCGGGCCGGGAAACTCCCCTCCGCGGGGTTGGGGCACGGCCCGGGCGGGCCCCGGGGGCCTCCGCGGGCGGACGGGGGGCAATCCCGGGGTGCAGGGGCGGCGGGGACCCCTCACCCTCCAGGAGGCGGCTGATGATGGAGTCGAGGTTGAGCTTCTCGGTGTCCGCCATGGCCGCCCGCGCGCCGCCACGCCCCGCGCGCCCGCCCAGAGCGCCTCCCCCCCGCGCCCGGGGGCGCCCCCTGCCGGCTCGGAGGAGTCACCGCGGCGCTTCGGTGGCCCCCTCGTCCCGGTGTCCCGATCCCAGCGCCGATGGGGATGGGAGACGGGACAAACATGGAGGGGAGCGGGGCGGGGAGCCACGGCGGTGGCATAGAGGCAGGAGGACACCCGTGGAGGTGGGACATGCGTGGCAGATGGAGAAGCCGGGTAAGGGGACATCCCTGGATAGGGGGACATCCCTGGATAGGGGGACATCCCTGGATAGGGGGACACACCGGGAACAGGGATACCCCGGGAAGGGGGACATCCTGGGAAAGGGGACATCTCGGCGAAGGTGACATCGCGGGAAAGGGGACATGAGGGACGACGGGGACTCGCATCCCGTTCCTGGGCGGGCAGAGACCGAGTGGGGGAGGCAGCCTCGGGGTAGGTGGGGCTCCCCGGGACTGCGGTCCTGGGGACACGGAGGGGACACGAGGGGATATGGGCACTCGTATCCTAGTCCTGGGAGCACAGGGATAGGAGCTGGGAGGAGTTAGGGGCAGATCAGGAGGGACCAGGGCAGGAGTGGGTCCCCAGGAGTGGGGTCAGGGTGACACGCAGGGGACACAGAGGGACACCAGGGGACACCACGACGCCTGGCAGAGCTCGGGGAGGTCCCCGCCCCGGGGCCTTGGGGACACCGTCGGGAGCAGCACCGGGCGGTTGCCGGGAAGCTGTTGCCACCCCGGGGACAGCCCGAAGGCCGGGCTCCCGCTGGGGACACGGAGGAGGGTGACACGTTTGTGCCACGGCTCGGGCAGGGTGGCAGTGCCAGGGATGGGGTCCTGCCTGTCCCCTGCCTATCCCCCTGCCCACAGTGGCTGTGCCATGCCGTGCCATGCTTCCCCATGCCATGCTGTGTCCTGTCATGCCATTCTCTGTATGCCACGCCAAGACATGCCATTCTCCTGTGCCGTGCCATGCCATTCCCTGTGTTCCACTCCCTGTGCACCATGCCGTGCCGTGCCACTGCCCACATGCCATCCCCTGCCATTCCCTGTGCGCCATTCCAGCCGTGCGGGTGCGGTCGGGAATAGCTCCCGGGGCCTGCCCCGGTCCTGACATTTCTGCTCCGCGGTGTCAGTTTTACACCCGGCCCTGGGTGACCTCGGGCTGGCCCGGTCCCTGTCCCCGGTCACTTGTCCCCTACCCCCATCCCTGTCCCCGTCCCGTGTCCCAGTCTCGCTCCCTGTCCCCGTCCCCCCGCGGTGCCATCCCGGCTCCGCAGCCACGGGCCCCTCGCTGTCCCCTTTTCCTGTCACCCCTCTCGGTCCCCCCGGTCCCTCCGGTGCCCCCGGTCCCGCCCCGCCCGGGGCCGCCCCGCCCGGGCAGGAGGCGCCGCCGCCACCGCTGGGACCGGAGCGTCCGGGGTGTGACAGCACCGGGACAGACAGACAGACCCCGACAGACCCCGACAGTGCAGGAACCGGAGCGGGCAGAGCCACTGCCGGGGTGTGACAGCACCGGGACAGACTGACACCGCCACTGCCACCGCCGGTGGGTGCTGGGTGGGGGTCCGGGTGATCCGGGGGAGGGGTGTGTGTGTGTTCTTGGGGGGGTGCTGGTGTAGGGAGGGCAGGAACAGCGGGGTGCAGGCCGGGGTGTGTGCACGTGTGTGTGTGTGCATGTATGTGTGTGTGCACATGTGTGTGTGTGCACGTGTGTGTGTACAAGTGTGTGCACGCACATGTGTGTGTGTGCACACGTGTGTGTGCACGTGTGTGTGTGTGCACATGTGTGTGTGTGCACATGTGTGTGCACATGTGTGTGCGTGTGCACATGTGTGCGTGTGCACATGAGTGCGTGTGCACATGTGTGTGTGTGCACGTGTGTGTGCACGTGTGTGTGTGCACATGTGTGTGTGTGCATATGTGTGTGTGTGCATATGTGTGTGTGTGTAGGTGTGTGTGTGCATATGTGTGTGTGTGCACATGTGTGTGCGCACATGTGTGTGTGCACGTGTGTGTGTGTGCATATGTGTGTGTGCACATGTGTGTGTGCACGTGTGTGTGTGTGCACGTGTGTGTGTGCATGTGTGTGTGTGCACATGTGTGTGTGTGTGCCTGTGTGCACATGTGTGTGTGCGCCTGTGTGCACATGTGTGCGCATGTGCAGGTGACACGCTGCAGGTGACGAGGTGTGGGTGACAGGATGCAGGTGACAGGGTGACAGGGTGTGTGCACACGTGTGTGTGTGTGTGTGTGCACAGAGCGGTGTGACAGTGCAGGTGTGCAGGTGACAGGGTGAGGGTAACCAGGTGTGGGTGACAGGGTGCAGGTGATGGGGGGGTGTGGGTGACGGGGTGCAGGTGACAGCGTGGGTGACAAGCTGTGGGTGACAGGATGTGGGTGATGGGGTGACAGTGACAAGGCTGCAGGTGATGGTGCAGGGGACAAGGTGCGAGTGACAGTGCAGGTGACAGCGTGGGTGACAGGGAGCGGGTGACAGGGAGCGGGTGACAGGGAGCGGGTGACAGTGCGTGCAGGACCCGGCGGCGCAGCAGCCGCGCTGGTGGCCCCGTGCCTGCCGGTGGTGGTGGCGGTGACAGTGACACCGCAGGCAGCTGGAGATAAGCCCGGGGACGTGCGTGTTGGCAGCTCCGCCACGCTGGGGACAGGGGGCCGGGGCGGGGGGGTAGGAGGGCGTGCCCAGCCTGGGGACACAGGACAGGGGGACAGGGACACCCCGGCGGGCTGAACCACGCCCCGGGTCCCGCGATGGCAGCGTGTCCCTCCCTGGTGACGGGGACAGGGACACGGGCAGAGGTGCCAGCGCCTGGCGCGAGGTGGTAGAGGGGACAATGGGGCTCTGTGTCGCCTAATCCGGGGCACGGGGCCGGGGGTTGGCACCCCGGGGTGGCGCGGGGGGGTGTTTAAAGGCCAGACCGGCCGGTGTCCCCTGTGCCAGTTGTCCCCGAGCCCTCGTCCCCTGCGCGCTCTCAGGCCACGGCTCCCACCCCAAGGTACCGGGGGACACGGCTGTCCCAGCTTGGGGACCGCAGGGCCACCTCCCGGCTGGGGGTGGAGGGGGACAGGGAGGTCCCCAGGCTGGGGGGGGGGCGCGGACCCGGAGGGACCCCGGTGGCTGCCCCGTGGATGGGTTTTGGGGGGTTCTGGTGCCATGTCACCGAGCAGTGTGTCCCCCAACCCTGTTCCCGGGTGCCGGCCACCCCTTGGGGACACCCCCCGCCGTGTACCCCTGAGGTCCCGGCACCCCGGGGGGCGGGGGGTGCCTCGGTGAGTGGCTGCCAACGGGCACCGTTCAGCTCCGTGCCTCAGTTTCCCTCCGTGCCAGCTCTGCCGGGCACCTGCTGGGACTGGGGACACCCTGGGGCCGGGGACACCCCGGGGACTTGGGTCTGCACCCCCAGGGCACCTTGGCACCCCCGGGGCAGGGGGGGTGCCCCCGGCTGTGCTGAGCTGGCACGGGATTACACTAATCCCTGGGCGGGCTCAGCCGGAGGTGCCGGGGCCACCGGGGCTGGCACCGAGGGGAAAACCCGGGGCCACCGTGACTGGCACCGGGGGGTCAATCTGGGGCCGCCAGGGTGGTCAGCGAGAGGACAAGCTGGGGCCACTGGAGCTGGCACAGAGGGGTCAACCTCGGGACACCAGGAATGGGCACTGTGGGGCTGGCACTGAGAGAACAAACTGGGGCCGCTGGGGTTGGCACCGAGGGGACAAGCTGGGGACACCGTAGTTGGCACCCAGGTGTGCCCCAGGAAGGGTGCCAGGCTCTGGGGGGTTTTGCGGGAGGGGTCCTCCCATGGGGGGCTCTAGAGGGGTCTCCCAGCACTGGGGAGGGGTGGCCGGGGGGGTGGCAGGTCCCCAAGGAGCCACGCTGACTCTGCCTGTCCTTCTCTTGCAGCCCCTCTGTCACCAGGATGGTGAGTGGCCCCCGGGTGGGGGGTCCGGGCGGAGGTGCGTGCCCACCCCGGGGACCCCGGCGGTGCCGGGCACTGGCGCGGGGCAGCGTGGTGTGCTGTGCCCACCCTCCGCGTGACCCCGCGGGGACAAGGGGACGCTTTGTCCGGGAGCTGGTGGCCCCGGCGGCTGGCACTGCCCCGCTGTCCCCGAGGCGGTGGCGCTGTGCCCGGCCCCCCGCAGCCCCCCCGGCACCGTGACACCCCCACCCGCGGGTGGCAGCGGCGCCCGGTGCCCCCACGCTGCGTCTGCACCGTGTCCCCCGTGCCCGCCCGGTGTCTGCCCCCGTGACGACTCCGTGCCACACCCACGCCAGCCCCTTAGATCCCTGTCCGCCCCTCAAACCCGAGCCACACCCTTGCCAGTCCATGGCAACCCATTTAGCCCCGTGCCAGCCCGTTAGCCACGTACCAGCCCCTTAGCCCCGTGCCAGCCCCGTGACAAGCAATTAGCCCCATGCCAGCCTCATACCACCCCTATGCCAGCCCTTCAGACCTGTGCCAGCCCCACGCCAGTCCCATGCTAAACCACCGGCCCCATAACAAACCCTTAGACCCGTGGCAGCCCCACACCAGCCCTGTGCCAGCCACGTGCTAGTCCCTTAGTCCCATGCAAGCCTCATACCAGCGTGATGCCAACCCGCTCGCCCCATGCCAGCCCTGTGCCATCCCTTTGGCCCCGTGCCAACGCCATACCAGCCCTTTAGCCCGTGCCAGCCCCACATACCAGCCCCTTAACTCCATGCCATCCACCTAGCTCTGTTCCAGCCCCATCCCAAGCCCATTAACCCCGTGCCAGCCCCGTGCCACCCCCTTCTCCCAGTTCCAGCCCCGTGCCACCCCCTTCTCCCCGTGCCAGCCCCGTGCCAGCGCGGTCCCTGCTCCCGCAGCTCTCGATGGCCCAGCCGAGCCCGGAGCGGGTGCCCAGCCCCGCGGAGCAGGAGTGGGCAGGGCCCGAGGCGCTGTGCCCAGGTTGGCTGGAGGAGGAGGCCCCCGATGGCGACGTGCCCGGGGACAGCGGGGACCCCGACGGTGCCACCCACGCCTTCGAGCGGCTGCAGAGCGCCCTGTGCCAGGAGGGGCTGCCCCCCACGCTGGACTGCTCCGCGGAGCCCCGCACGGGTGGGAGGCACGGGGGCACGGTGCCAGGCTGGGGACACGGGGGTGGCACGGGCTGGGGTGGGGGAACGGCGCCAGGCTGGGGACACGGGGGTGGCAGGGACTGGGATGAGGGAATAG